TCGAACCTGCGGGCTCAGGCAATCCACTCACCTCAGCCTCCCAAAGGCGCGGGATTACGGCTGAACCACTGAACCCGGCGTCATCCCCCTTTTCAAATGAGGACATTGAGGCCTGGGGAGAAGAAGGGCTTGCTCAAGGTAACATTTAAAACACTTTTTTTTTGAGTTGGAATCTCACTCTGTCGCCCAGGTTGGAGTGCAGTGGCACTCTCACGGCCACCCCAGCATCAACCTGTTAGGCTCAGGCAATCCTTCCGCCTCAGCCTTCCAAGTAACTGGAACTATCGGTGCGCACTACCACGCCTGGCTAATTTTTTGATTTATTTGAGAGACGTGGGCTCATCAAGTTGCCCAGGGGGGTCTCGAACCCTCAGGCTCAGGCGATCCACTCGCCTCAGCCTCCCACTGCGCTGGGATTACAGGCTTGAGCCACCCCGCCCAACCCAGTTATCTTTTACTGGACTTAAAATCCTTTATATGCTAATATGCATCCGGATGTTTTTTATTTTATTTTTATTTATTTTATTTTATTTTCCCAGACTGGAGTGCAGTAGCCGCTCCCAGTGGCCGCTCCACTTGACCTGCTGGACTCCGGCGATCCTTCCGCCTCAGCCTTCCAAGTAGCTGGAACTACAAGCGCGCGCTACCACGTCCGGCTGATTTTTGATTTATTGTAGAGATGAGGTCTTGCCAAGTTGCCTAGACGGGTCTCGAACCCACAGACTCAGGCAATCCACTCACCTCAGCCTCCCAAGGCATGGGATTACAGGTTGAGCCACCGAGCCCAGCCGGATGCTTTTTAGAGGATGATACAGAGGTAGTCTTTCCCAAACATATTTGACCACCCAGTCTTTTTTTCCCCCTCTAACATATTTGTGTTTAATTGATCACAGAACACATTTTGGGAAACACTGGAGTCTGAAGATTTCCCCACCTTCGCCTCCAAACAAAGGGAAGCATTCTTCCCTTCAATTGTGCCTATGCATTTCAAAGTATTAACATTAACATTTTCCACGCACCCTTCTATTCTGCATCTATTTTACTGTTTCATTTTTAAAAATGCTAGTGAAACCCACTAATTTGACCCATCGAAGTGTCAAACCTCACATTTTGGAAAAACACTGTATAGACTCAATGGTTAGCTTGTTGTGTGGCAGGTGTTGTGGGAGGGTTATGCAGGGGGTACTGAGAAGAAAACACCAAATATCTTTTTTTTTTTCTTTTTGAGTCTGTCACCCCAACTAGAGTGCAGTGGCACACTCCCAGCTACTGCAACCAGGACCTGCTGGACTCAGGTGATCCTTCTGCCTCAGCCTTCCAAGTAGCTGGAACCACAGGCATGTGCCACCACGCCTGGTTAATTTTT